AATACGACCATATTTCACATTTTCGTCATCAGCTCAAGTGGCTTCCTATTCGTGAGCGTAGGAACCTCAGAGTTGTTTGTGCCCTTTTTAATCTTCTGTTCGATCCACATACACCAGTTTACCTAAAAAGCAGATTTAGGTTTCTGAGTGATTCTCATGACCGTGTTCTCCGTTCAACGGACAATCTCCTTCTGCATACTCCCGTCCATTCTTCTGGCTTCGTCTCCCACTCTTTCACTGTCACGGCTGTACGACTCTGGAATGATTTACCCCCCAATATACGTAAAGCTCCTAACAAAATTGCATTTAAGGGATTGGTTCGTGAGCACTATCTCAATAGCATTAAACAGCGTTCTCATATTTGACTGACAAAACCATGTATTTATGTATGTATTGTATAATATGTGTGTGTGTATGTATGTGTGTATATGTATATATATATATATATATATATATATATATATATATATGTGTGTGTGTGTATAATATGTATGTATTCTGTTAAAAGTATTTGTATCATTGGTTTATCTTAAATTTGTCTTTATTGCGCCCCGTCATATTAGATTTTTTCTCACGCTCTTACTGGTCGACTGGTAGAGAATGCCTTATGGCATTATGTCCGCCATTTGCTTTGTAATTTTGCAATAAAGTTTAAATAAATTAGCCCTGCTTAACAGGTATTCGCATCTTTTCACGAGAGGTTATTCCAAGTCTCGTGTTACTACAGGAGAATTGGAAATTCGGTTAAAAAATCCAGAAAAATATGTTGAACGCCGACCATATAGACTTAGTCCCATAGAACGCGAAAAAGTTAAAGAGATTGTTTCGGAGTTGATTTCAAATAATATCGTCCGTGAAAGTAAATCACCGTATTCTAGCCCAATTATTTTGGTAAAAAAGAAAAACGGCGATGACAGAATGTGTGTGGATTACCGCGAGTTAAATGCTAACACCGTGCGTGACCACTACCCCCTTCCGTTGATCGCAGATCAGATTGACCAATTGACAGGTGGGAAGTATTTTACTTCACTTGACATGGCATCTGGTTTCCACCAGATCCCTATTGCCGCAGACTCTATTGAGAAAACTGCCTTTGTTACACCAGACGGATTGTTTGAGTACCTGACAATGCCATTTGGTCTTTGTAACGCACCTTCAGTGTACCAAAGATGCATAAATCGAGCACTAGGACCACTCTTAAACCCAGGTAGTGCCGATGCTAAACTTAATGATAGTGTGGCACAAGTGTATATCGATGACGTAATTAGCAAATGCCGCGATTTCTCTAGTGGAATTTCATATTTGGAAAGAATCTTAATTGCATTACATGACTCTGGGTTTTGTATCAACATTGACAAGTGTCTTTTCTTTAAACGTTCTATTGAGTATCTTGGTAATGTAATAGAAGATGGTCAAGTGCGCCCAAGTCCTAAGAAGGTCGAAGCTTTGCTTAAAGCCCCAGTCCCTTCTACAGTAAAACAAGTTCGACAATTTAACGGTCTTGCGGGTTATTTCCGGCGTTTCATTCCCAATTTTGCACGTCTTATGATTCCTTTATACGAGCTTACCAAGCAGGGCGTTAAATGGCAATGGACTTACATACACGAGGAAGTGCGTCAAAAAGTTATTGATTATTTAACATCTACACCCGTATTAACAATTTTTCGAGAAGGCGAACCGATAGAATTATTTACTGACGCCAGTAGTCTAGGTTTTGGAGCGATACTAGTCCAGATTATCAACGGCAGACAACACGTTGTAGCGTATTTTAGTATGCGCACCACAGACATTGAAGGTAGGTACCATTCTTACGAGCTCGAGACGTTGGCTGTAGTCCGAGCAATTAAACACTTCAGGCACTTTCTATACGGCCGTAAGTTTAAAGTGATCACCGACTGCAACGCCTTAAAAGCATCGAAGCACAAGCAGGATCTCTTACCCCGTATACACCGTTGGTGGTCTTATCTCCAAAATTTTGATTTTGATATTGAGTACAGAAAAGGTGAGCGAATGCAACACGCTGACTTCTTCAGCAGAAACCCCGAACCCTTGACTGTTAATGTTATGACCAGAAATGTAGAATGGCTAAACATTGAGCAGCGTCGTGATACGCAGCTACGCCCTATCATCGACAATTTGCACAACGGAGATATCATTCCCGGATATCTACTTGAAGACAACGTTCTCAAATACGAGAAGGTGGATCCAATATTGGGTTCTCAAAAATTGATCGTAGTACCGAAATCGTTTCAATGGAGTCTAATAAACACATACCATAATGCCCTTAAACACCCAGGATGGGAGAAAACCCTCCACAAGGTAAGAGAGACTTATCATTTTGATAAAATGAACACCATTGTTCGTGACTTTGTGGACAACTGTGTGGTGTGCCGCACTTCAAAGCAGTCGTCAGGAGCTACCCAGGTACAATTACATCCGATTGCTAAACCAACAATTCCATTTGAGGTTATTCACATGGACATCACTGGTAAACTGGGAACACCCAACGATCAAGAGTATGTCATTGTAACTATACTCTTTTACAAAATATGTTTTGTTACGTCACTCAAATGATAAAAGTCAACACGGCACCCTTGGTGCCCTAAAACAAGTAATACACCTTTTTGGAGCACCTAAACAAATCATTGTGGATGGCGGCCGTGAGTTCCTTGGTGAATATAAAAAATATTGTGACAGGTATGGAATTGAAATACATACCATTGCGCCGGGGGTCAGCAGAGCTAACGGGCAGGTCGAGCGAATGATGGCCACTTTAAAGAACGCTCTCATTATGATAAAAAACTACGAGACTCCGAACTGGCATACAGCACTCGAGAGCTTGCAACTGGCCTTTAATTGTACTGCTCATAGAACTACTGGTGTAGCCCCATTAACACTTCTCACCCGCCGTCAGAACTGCGTACCGCCTGAGCTCCTAAGCTTAGTGGATTTTGATAATTCCTCTATCAATATAGAAGCACTACAACGACATGTTCAACAACGGATGGTCGAAGCGTCAGCCAAAGACAAAGCAAGGTTTGACAAAGGACGAGCCCGTATACACAGCTTTCAGCGGGGGGATTTTGTATTAATCAAAAACAATCCCCGAAACCAGACTTCTCTAGATCTTAAGTTCAGTGTACCTTATGAAATTTTCAGAGTCCTAGACAATGATCGGTACTTGGTGAAAAAAGTCATCGGCCATCAAGGGCGGCCACGGAAGGTGGCTCACGACCAGCTACGACGAGCCCCACAACCTGTCGCGACGGCCAGTCAGGCAGCAATGTCGCCGGATGGGCAGCTACCGGGGACCTCCGGTATTGCTCTAGCGTCAACGTCGTCCGAGCAATGAATCGACGATTATCATACTATGCCCGCCCGGTGAGAAACTTTCAGAATAATTTAAAATATTCATAATAACTTCTACTACATGAGTGACCTAATCTTAAAATAACTATCGTTGGCTATTGACGTGTGGAGCCGTACAATAGTCGAAAAAAAAAAAATAAAAAAAAAAAAAAAAAAAAAAAAAAAACAAAACTGCTATTGTCGTATGGAGCCGTACAATAGTAAAATATAATACATGTGTAATATATGACATGTGGAATGGGTAGTTAGTCAAAGTCAATTTCATTTCTTTATAAACTTAGCGAGATAGGTTTACTGTGGAAGTACCTAGCTTCAGAATTGTTATTTTCTATTTCAGGAAGTACCTACATGTAGAGCGCTGCAGAGCACGCATCGCATCTCAGAATGGCCGTGTCGCCGCATACGTTATTACCATAGTTGATTAAGGCAAAATAGCGATTAATAATTATGATACTGTCTATTCTAAAATTAAGAGGAAATAATGTTTGCATTTTCATTTGAATTATTTACTGTAATCGATGGTTTAGACCATCGGTTTAAGTACTTTTATTGTAAAAGTCATGTGACTGACATTATGACACGAAAGTTGATTGACACTTATTATTAAGCTAAAGTTTTGTATTGATTAATTCATTTAATTTATTTTGTTAATTTAAAGTTGAAAATCTGTAGCTATTTGTTACTAAATTTAGTTAGATTATAATTAGGAGACTTATTTGTCTGTTAACGATATCGCGTGATCGGAACGGCGCAACGCCATTGGTCCACGCTCCAAGTGGTCGTGGAGTAGGGGCGGTGCGATCGTTCGATGGCGGGGCACAGGCTCGGGCACTGTGTGTCTGATTCTTGAACTGAACGGTAGTGAGCAAATGCTCTGCCCCTTTGTTCATCTTTACCTTTTAAAAAATATTATTGAATTTAGTTAAGATAAGTGATTGTTTAAAGTGATTTGTGAGTGAAGTGAATTGTTAAAAATAAAACAAGGTTACTGTAATCGTTAAAAGTGATTTATTCAAAAATAGTGTAGCACATTTAATTACTTTTTATTCTTTAATCAAACTTCTCCATGGACGAGCCAGGCATAACCGCTGGCCATGCCAGCGATATCGAGTCTGGACATTTAAATTATAATAATAATACTCTTGAATTTTCGACATATAGGGCAGGCGGGACTATGCCGCAGTCTCCATTGTGGCAATCGAGACAAAATAACCTTATTTCGATGGATCAACAACCAAGGGGAGTGGGTAGTAATTCCTATATACTACTACTCCTTCCTTATTTCCTATATTATACGCTCTGGTTAGGAGCCTCCACGCGCTCGGAGCCCCAGGGCCCCCACACCTCTGAAGTGCCTGACTGGGGCCCTAGACCCTGTTCTTATGCCGTAATTTGAATAACTTTTCTAAGTACTTTAAATCAGTAAAAGTCGTGTTGTCTCATTCTATTGTTATCGCAAAGTGAAAACATCAACTTTAGTCAAACAAAAAAATATTGACTTCCCTGAGTGCGGTCGTTACTGGCATAAGAGCTTATTAAGATTAATTTGAATAGAGATTTAATAGAGATTAAATAACGATTGGTGAGGAATTGTATAGGCTACATTATAATTTTAAATATAATTAACATACCTTCGTGTAGAATACGTAAAGTAAAACGACGCCGATAAGCGTGAGGGCGAAGCACGTCAGCATAGACAGAAGTAACGCAGCGTACCAGCCGCGTGATTGCGTCTCTTCATACTTAGCTGCGATTCAATAAAAAAGTGCATTAGTAAGTACATAAAGCAAATTATTATTAATAGATCATTTGTACCAAAAAAATCAACCAACTTGGACAGGAATTAAACTAAAGAACTTTCTCTAGACAGGGCGCTTGTTAAGATCTGAGGCCCAAGCACGATTTTTTGCAGCTCCGTAAACTTAACAACTAAGCAGCGCCCCTACCGGACATAAGAACAAACTGGCTCCTTCCATACAAAATTTGACGATACGATTACAGCGTTGTTAAAAATTCGTGCTTGGGCATCTGTTGTATTGTCAATCCTTAAAGTTTATTTTTAGCACGAAAATTTCTTTATTTATTCGTATATAATATCACTTGCAGTAAATTAGTACAAAATAAGATCTAAACATTACTCACAAACCCAATTCTCCGCCCAGGAATGTGCAAAATCAATGATCAGAATGAGCTGGATAACTATGAAACAGAAGCCGCCAATCATGCCGAAAACCATCCAAGTGTGAGCAAACTGGCCTTCAGGAATGAAGAATGCTCCGATTATACCACCAATCACCAGCAGGTATTTGATGCCCCAAAACCTGAATGGTGGAATGGAATGCATCATGTCGGTTAATGACGTCAATGTATTGAAACAAAGAAGTTGATTTGCTTACTTTGATAGATTTAAGATTTTTTTTTTAAGTGTTCAATAAATTTTCGCTAGTGTTACCTATACCGCAAATTTCTTTTGTTTCTTAATTTTTTTTTGTTGAATTGCATCAGAACTTGGTTATTTGATTTAACTACACTATTTTTATTTACATATAAGACATTTCTTACCCGTTCTGTATTCCAGCTCGAGGATCTTTAGAAGATCTCACCCCAATCATTATGAGAGCCATCAATACAAAGAAGAGACATGCTGCAAAGCAGATCCTGAACAGAAATGTATACTTATGTTGATAAACAAATCTTGTAGTACATATAAATTAGATTTGATATAAGTTTGTACATAATTTCATTTTACACTTGACAAATACTGACAAAGACAGAGCATATAAATGCTATTCCTTATAATTTACAAATTAGGCAGTTGATACATTGAAACATTTTCATATAGTTCTCATGTATGTTATGTATTGTGTAAACTACATTTAACAATAGGTAAATTTTGACAGTGCCAAAAATAAACTACCAAAAGTTCACTTGCTCTAATGCACATGAAAATGTATCATTATGCTAAAAACAAATCTAATAACTAAAATTCATAATAATAATAATCTCATTCTGTTTTGACAAAAAAACATCATTTGGTGACCTCTGTGGTCGAGTGGTTTGTACACCGGGTTTCATGAGTTCAAATCCCGGTGGGGGCAGATGTTTGTGTGATGAATACGAGCATTTGTACTCCAGTCATGGATGTTTAATATGTATATCTATAAAAATATACTTATATATGTACAGTATATGTATTCTATCCATAACCCTAGTATCCCTTAACACAAGCCTTATAGTGCTTACTTTGGGGCTAGGCTAATTGGTGTGTGTTTTGGAAATATTTCTTTATATTTATTTATTTTTTATAAACTTCCACACCTTTTTACTGTTGCTGCCCGCTTTTTCCAGTTCTGTCTTATCATACTTAATTTTTACTTTTCTCAGGATATCATTACTAAAGTTTCGGTACCTTTTGTAAGACTGTTGCAATATTAAATAACAGGGATTTGCTTTAGCCTTCATATGTAATTTGTCTCTATGTTTCATGCAGCGAATTAGCCCTGTAAATCCAGGGTAATCTACTATATAAAAATAAGTCGGGTTTTCCTTCCTGACGCTATAACTCCAGAACGCACGAACCGATTTCCACGGTTTTGCTTTCGTTGGAAAGGTCTCGGGCTTCGTGAGGTTTATAGCAAAGAAAGTTCAGGAAAAATTAAAAAAAAAAACTTCTTTTAATCACCAAACGAAATGTTACATAAAACGAAGCCATCTGGTGGCGAAACGGAGTTCGCCGGGTTTGCTAGTCTACTATATAAAAATAAGTCGGGTTTTCCTTCCTGACGCTATAACTCCAGAATGCACGAACCGATTTCCACGGTTTTGCATTCGTTGGAAAGGTCTCGGGCTCCGTGAGGTTTATAGCAAAGAAAGTTCAGGAAAATTAAAAAAAAAATCTTCTTCTTTCAATCACCAAACGAAATGTTACATAAAACGAAGCCATCCGGTCGCGAAACGGAGTTCGCCGGGTTTGCTAGTTAATTATATAATCTATAACACTACAATTGGCTAATACCATTGATATATATAAGTCATTGGCTGAGATTTGCAAACTTGCTGTTAATTAAATTAGTTAGTTTGTCTAGGTACAAGCTTTGTACTGTTCGTGGTTTTAAAGTCAGACATCTGACGTCATAATGTGTGCTAGAGAAACATTTTCATGGCATATTTGAAAATCAAATAATTATTTTCAATTTCTACTGAAATATGTTACAGACAAAATGATTAATTCTATATTTTATGGAGTTAATGGTGTCGATTCTGGCATGTTTGTCTAAACCTAAAACTAAATTTGACAACAGTGTATCCTTGTCATTCTCTGTACAGAATGAAAAGGAGAGACTGATGTTAAATTTAGTTATAAGTTTAGAGAATCACGCCAGAATCGACGCCATTATATACTATATTAGTAATAAGTTTATGGTTTTCAGAAACTTGTCAATTATCCTATTAAAATGGTCAAATTCATATAAATATCAACAATAAAGAAGGTTGATTCACAAATCCAAAACTTACCTATATACAGCTAAATAACCAACTGCTTCATCACAATCCACTTTTAAACTCCCTGGTATAAGAGGTGTGCCTGTTGAAGTTGAATTTGCACAAAAAGGAACCTGAAAAGGGATTTGTTTAATTAAATTAATGCTTTATTTAGGGCATATTATAAATACATTACTTTATTGATTAAAATCACAAAAAACTGGTAAGTGCAAGTAGCTTAACCAGAGGGAGTCTCTGAGACTCTGGTGTGTTATAACAGCAGCCATCTATTAATAAGAGTCTCAAGGCTTTTATCATTATAAAAAAAACTTGTATCTCATGAGAAATGTTTCATATACTTAACAAAATATTTTTTCATATGTTGGATTTTTTTTTATTAGTTTGGAAATGGAATGGTTTCATGAACCACCAATGCATGTGACTAAACATATAAGTCATTTCTCATAAGACACAAGAAAGAAATAAAGTAATGCATATAAATTGACTCACTTTCCGGAGCTCATTTTGGAGGCCAGGTGCAAGGGTGATACAAGCAGTGATCATCACCAACAGCAGCAGTAGTGCGTACATCAGCCGGGACGATGTTGAGTTTGCACATGACGGACACGCTGAGCAACACAGTGAGCAGGCAGCACTTCCACAGCAGCATGCCAGCTAGAATCATAAGCCTAGTTAATATTTTATAGTGTTATACTTACAATATTGTCAAGAAAAATATGAATAGATTGAAATTAAGTTTTTACTTATAATATGGTGTTGGTTCTAGCATGATGCTCTAAACCTAAACTTTAATTTGACAACAGTGTATCCTTGGCATTCTCTATACAGAATGAGGAGGAGGAGGACTTCTTGTTTGCTGAATTTTTTGAGGAGTGGATCCAGTTGATATGGTTTTTCACGTTCAGATTTGATTAAACTGGCTTTGCATCCATAATCGATGTTTGGAGTAAATACTTCGGATAGATGTTTAGCGAATGTGTTGGCCTTTTGCTGGTTTTTTATTTATTTCTTTGTAATGAAATGCTTATCATACATTTGTCCACTGTTTGCTCATTTTAAGTTTTCTAACTATATACAGTGGTGGTCGTATAATTGGAAACACTACCTGTCTTTGACATTATGTAAGAGACTTCACACACTTTTCATTTTGAAATTATACAATAAATAGGACAACATTATGTTCAACTATTTATCATTTATTCATCATCAGCAGCTGTGTGAACCTAGCACCCGACTTTGGAAGATATTTTTTTTTTCTTAACGATTCTTGAAGACTTTCGTATGTAGTTGATTGTAGTAAAAATTATTTCGTTTGTAGTTGCTTCAAAAAAAAGTTATGGGACTTCGAAAAACCGTTAGCACTCCGATTCGGCCAAACTCAAATTTTTTGATTGATTCGTATCGAGAATCGTTTGTAGTTGATTGTGAAAGTGAAAGAATTTTCGTTTGTAGTTGCTTCAAAAAAAAGTTATGGGACTTTGAAAAATCCGTGTAATCCCGTTTCAACCGAACCCAAATTTTCTGATTGATTCTCATCGAGAATCGTTTGTAGTTGATTGTAGTGAAAGAATATTCGTTTGTAGTTGCTTCAAAAAAAAGTTATGGGACTTTGCAAAATCCGTATAATCCCGTTTCAACCCTAATCAAATTTTCTGATTGCTTCTCATCGAGAATCGTTTGTAGTTGATTGTAGTGAAAAAATTTTCGTTTGTAGTTGCTTCCAAAAAAAGTTATGGGACTTTGAAAAATCCGTATAATCCCGTTTCAACCGAACCCAAATTTTGTGATTGATAGTCATCGAGAATCGTTTGTAGTTGATTGCAGTGAAAGAATTTTCGTTTGTAGTTGCTTCAAAAAAAAAGTTATGGGACTTTGAAAAATCTGTATAATCCCGTTTCAACCAAACCCAAATTTTCTGATTGATTCTCATCGAGAATCGTTTGCAGTTGATTGTAGTGACAGAATTTTCGTTTGTAGTTGCTTCAAAAAAAGTTATGGGACTTTGAAAAATCCGTATAATCCCGTTTCAACCGAACCCAAATTTTCTGATCGATTCTTATCGAGAATCGTTTGTAGTTGATTGTAGTGAAAGAATTTTCGTTTATAGTTGCTTCAAAAAAAAGTTATAGGATTTTGAAAAATCCGTATAATTCCGTTTCAACCCTACTCAAATTTTCTGATTGCTTCTCATCGAGAATCGTTTGTAGTTTATTGTAGTGAAAGAATTGTCGTTTGTAGTTGCTTCAAAAAAAAGTTATGGGACTTTGAAAAATCCGTATAATCCCGTTTCTACCGAACCCAAATTTTCTGATTGATTCTCATCGAGAATCGTTTGTAGTTGATTGTAGTGAAAGAATTTTCGTTTGTAGTTGCTTCAAAAAAAAAGTTATGGGACTTTGAAAAATCCTGTAACGTGTTAAAAACGTCACATGGATCTCCTTCGCTCGAAGAGCGAGATAGAAGATTTTTTTTGGTTGTCTCTCTAGTCGTTTTTATCTCGCGCCCATTTTCTGTAATCTGTGCACTTTTGAATAATTATGTTGCTAACTTTATCAAGCAGTAGGCTGAATGGACGTTGTTCTCTTTGCCTACCGACAAGAGAAAACAATCTTAAGAAAAAAACTGTCATTTCACTTCACGACGTAATTTTTAGACCAAAGGATGGTCATTTCATATTCCATTTTTTTTAATGGATAATCCCTTATATTATTGATTGTTTTTAATGATGAAACATTTTGCATCATTCGTACAAAATGGCGATGGCCAAACCTCAAGCTTAATTTGTTAGTAAAAAGCGAAAAGCGTTTTTTTTTATTTGGATTTTTCATTTGGATATCTTATTCCAATTTCAACATTTCCCGTGATGTGGAGGTGAACCCACGGGATCTAAAAACGGCCATCCCCTACATATTTACAACACCGGACATATACTACCCAGATCAGATGCAGCGGGGTCGGTAACATTCTAATAATAAGGTAAATATTCATTTAATTTGTGGTAGCATCACAGTATATAATAGTTTCTAAATTTAGATTTAACCCTTTTGGACTTAAAATTTCAATATATAGACAACCCAAAATGAATATGGATTTGCATTAAGCCCCCTTTGCGATTAATATTCCAATGTTCTCCCGGCTAATAATGATGGTACAGTCCAGGCGCCCGAATATTCTTTTTTAATTGATTTCGGCCTTTCCATTCTCAAATTTATTATTTTTTTATTACAATCCGTATAATCCCGTTTCAACCGAACCCAAATTTTCTGATTGATTCTCATCGAGAATCGTTTGTAGTTGATTGTAGTGAAAGATTTTGCGTTTGTAGTTGCTTCAAAAAAAAGTTACGGGACTTTGAAAAATCCGTATAATCCCATTTCAACCCTACTCAAATTTTCTGATTTCTTCTCTTCGAGAATCATTTGTAGTTGATTGTAGTGAAAGAATTTTCGTTTGTAGTTGCTTCAAAAACAAGTTATGGGACCGACCACTGCGAAAGTTGCTTTACTTCAATGACTGCAGCCGAACGTGCTAACTACCTGCGCAAATCAAGCTCCTTTCAATCGAGATCATTTATTAGAAAAACTGTATAAATCCCATTGCACAACTGCAGCTTCAACATCACAATACTGCAAACATTTAAATCAGTTTTAAGATATGAAAAAACAACAAAAAAGTATAAAAAACAATATTTTTAGGTATTACTTAAATGTATTGTTATTTACGAAATAGCTACTATCCACAGCCTACCAATAGTTATAAATTACATTTAGTGGTGTTTCCCTTATTTCCAATACCAGCACTGTAACAACTCCATGCTTCAACAAATGCTTCATATAGTTTGTTTTGACTGGTGCTACGTTTGTTTGAGACTTTCTTTTTAACAATATACCAGAGATTTTCTATTGGGTTTAAATCCGGACTATTTGCTGGCCCGTCTAAAACGGATTATTAATTATTGATTGTGTATATTTTTTACGAACACAGTTATTCTTTCTTTAATCATAAGTGTTTCTAATTATATGACCACCACTGTTTAAACAACTTTAAAATTTTCATGTCAAATTTTAGTTTCATTTTACGAGAAATAGCAAATCAACCATAACTCAAAAGTGGTGAACTTAATTGATCTCTCTGAGTATGTCCAATAGAGTATTAAAAGCACCTAAGTCAAGGATTTTCAGGTAATAATAAGAATGGAATGATTCACAAGTAGGTATTGAGTCATTCAGGGATTTCCATATTTATCTTTTTTTTGGTCAATTATGATTTCTTGGTTTAATATGAAATTAAAATATATGATAACGTTATAGGAAAATATTAACAGAATACTTACTTGAGCTGCAGAACAAAGGCCTAAAACAGCCCCCATGACTTTATAAAATTCTCTTCTTTATTCAAATAGTTGGGAATATCACAATCACAATAAACCTTGCTTTAGACACGGTAAAGAGTGTGAGTAACCCTGTTCAATCAGAAAATCAATAATCATAAAATAACACGACAAAGTAGGAAGGTACCCTTTTCTGCTTTAATCCAGTCAAAAACAAAAACATGGCGCTCATGTCAATGAAATAAGTGAACTTTTTTAACGTTCTGCCTTTTCAAAGAAGGCAAAAAGAACAATGTCCATACAGCCTAGTCTTCAGTTTTATGGTGGTTTTCCAATTATAGAGCATAATGCGACTCAGTGGCGCACAATGCCGAATTATGCTGATGCTTAATTGGAACGTGAATTAGTTTTCAAATGCACCAGCAGAGTGCGCTAAGTTCAGTGTTGAAAAAAAAGTCAAAGTTTGTACCTTTGTCCATATTTATATTTAATTTTTTAACACAGTTTGAATTAACTTTGATTATTAAAAAAAAAAACTATAATGAAACGAAAGTTTTGATAATTTTTCAACAATAAATAATATTACTTACGATAACATATAAATAAAACATTACGATCAATGCCAACTTGAAGAAAAAACGCTTGTTAATTTTCTGTCTCTGAGTTGGTACGATTGCACGCATCACACGAAAACATTACTTTTGAGAGTGCTCGATTGTGCGAAGCGTTGCTGTAGTTGAAACACTCAACGTTAAGCATTATGCCGCATAATGCGCTATAATGCTGTAATTGGAAAGCTACCTTATTCTTCCATAACGGGAAGGGCAAAAGCATATCCATAAAGCTATCGTCTTATTTTTTTTGGAGTTTTCTCCTTAAGAATCGATTTGCATATATATAAGGGGCCCGGTATGAGAAAAATGTGAGGAGTAAAATCTATCGATGAATGACGTTAATGACCTCGTTACGTTATTGTGCGCAACCTCATCTGCGCACCTTTCACTTTTAGCCATGGCAACGGTTAAAAAACATTAAGTTGTCACAAATGTCAATAAAATAAATAAACTAAAAATAGATAAAATCGGAGCAAAATTAATGAAAACAAATAAATAACAGAATATAGAGAAATGCCGGTAAGTGTCTAGTCAGCACTCTGGAATAGTGATTTTCAGTACTGATGGAATTATAATACATATTTACAAAATGATGACTAGTGTGTGATATTTTTGAAATTGTGTGTTTCCAGAAATACATAATAAAATATATGAAGAATATCGCTGATGTTAGATGATAAAATGTGTGACATGGAACCTATGATAGTCGAAACCATGGGACGATTCCTGAGGTATCTCTACTTGTAACCGACTTTTTCGGACTTGATTTTGTTTTGTGTCTGTTCAAAGAGAATCGTTTTTAAAGTGTAAACTCCGGTCGTGCGTCGGAGCTGACAAACACATTTTTTTTATAAATCTTATTTAACATTAGAGTTTCATTAGTCTGTTATTTTAAAGTATCAAGTCTATTTTATTATTTTGAAGCAGGTATTTACAGCAACAGCTATTTTAACATTTTCTGATTTTATAGGGTTCCTACTTACGATTCATTAGACAAACTCTACCTTTTAAATCGGATTTCTCTTTCTCGCTAAGCTTCTATGTGGAAGTCAAGACTACTATAAAGTGAAGGTTTTAGGCCTCAAAGTTACACACTGCTGCGATAATAACGAACTCTCTAAACTTAAAACTAAATTTAATATCAGTCTCTCCTTTTCATTCTGTATAGAGAATGACAAGGATACAGTGTTGTCACATTTAAGTTTAGCTTTAGAGAATCAGGTGGTTTTCCAATTACAGAGCATAATTCGACTCAGTGGTGCGCAATGCCGAATTATGCTGATGCTTAATTGGAACGTGAATTAATTTTCAAATGCACCAGCAGAGTGCGCTAAGTTCAGTGTTGAAAAATAAAAGTCAATGTTTGTACCTTCATCCATATTTATATTTAAGAGCCCTTTTACAAAATTGCGCCGCTCTAGTTTAGGTAAATTCGGCCGCGAGCGTCTCCGAGTCGCACGAGTGAGACATCGACGCGGCGATGTTCAGTATAGCGCGCTTTACCAAATTGATACTTTAATATGCAATTATTGACTATACAATAAATGCAAATATAAAATAAAGTTAATTTGAAGTGCTAAGATGGATCCCTACTGTAGCAACGAACGATTCTAGATAGGAATTTTGAGTGGAGCAAAGGATACAAGGATTAAGGTTTTTCACAATTATGAGAAAATAAATAATATATTTAAAGTACTCATTGGCTGTGTTTTGGAAATGACAATAAAAAATAATTATGATTATTACTAATTATTGTAACTTTATATGTATGATTTGCATAACTTCTGTTTGTTCAAATTTTTTTTATTCACTCAGTAATTAAATGAATAGTTTGTTCACTGTTACCGCTGAATGAAATCCTTTTTTCGAGAGGCAATGAGAAATAATATTTTATTTACTTGTGTTTTTTAGTATTGACTTTCTTTATGATGATTGATGTTTGGTAATAATCAAATATCTTAGCAAAACTGTACTAAGTGTAATTTTGTCTTTGCCTTCGTAGTTCATTTAATAAAAAAGTTTTCTCACTCTGTATTTTCAATATATCTGTAAGAGTATTTGATAAAAAAATAAAATGTTTTTTATAACATAACATGTTTTTTGGATTCGTGTAATTTCCATGCATTTAAACAAAAACCATCAAAAGCATTTAACTTTCATAGGAACTCATCTCAACTCAACTCAACGACACCAGAGAGAGCAGAATAATAATTATTCTTGTATGAGCGTTTGCTCCAACAAGCATCCGCTTCTACAGCTATCATGGCAATTCCTGCGTTGCTTATATTGACTTTGCAAAATCTATTTTATGTTTTGCCGCATTTAGCATAGTTTCTTCAGCGGTTTTCTTCCACATATCGGCAAACACTATCATGAAGAGTACTATATAAACGAAATGGTATCGTTGGTAAATCCATCGAGGCTACAAGCTCGTTTAAGTTGGAAAGACCAATTCCGGTAGTTATAGCTCCTAATACGGCTCCAACATTGGCATTGAAGCATCGTTTTTCAAAATCACAAGTATTCAGGACGAATCTCGATCCACACATTTCACATTTTACCACAAACTTAGATATGAAACCCACTTTCTTTTCATTTTCTATTTTAAGGTAATTCATTTTGCAGTCAAACTTAACACTAAGTTTACTTATGGATATCAACTGATTCCAAAAATATTGGAATTCGATTACACGTCTTCCATCAAACATGTTCTCCTCCTGAAAACAAATTATCTAATTGACTACAATACTGCTTTTATCGACTAACTACGCATATAAACAGATATAGGCAATACTGGAAATACATTTCCAATCCCGACACAGATATGGTACGTAAATCAGCAAGTTACTGTCAATTGAACTTATGGAGCAAAGAAGTCTAAATATAAAATATTAAAAATAAACTTTTTTGCTCTAGAAATGCATCCCATTAGTTAAAGTTTAAAACAAAAACCAAACTGCTAACATTGTAAACTATGTACCTAGTGTAGTAGTGAAATACCCAATATGTAAGTTTAAAACAAATAAAATATTTACGTTTGAGTTTGACGCTTCCCTTTGTTCCTCGGCTTCGATTTCCAATACAACAGCATTTTTTTCCTATATAATTAAATTTATTATTATAATTTCAATTTCTCTTTTCATTGTCTACTGCCAATAACAACATGAAAAACTTATAGTTTCCGTTGCAATCGAATCCATTGAACTTATGGTCGATATAGTTTCAGTATTTACGGGGTTGCCATTAAATTTTTGTTTCCATCTAAAATAAATAGAACTGTCAAATTCTATTCTAACTATATTATTATGTTGGGCAAATATGTACTTTGGCAGCTCACGAGCTTATACTTGTTATACTTGAACGAAATGCAAAATTTTACCGCACTCTAGCTTTTTTTACAGACATAAGGGTAGATTGTAAGAATCTTAAGTTTAAATCGGGGAATGTAGGGTGGTCACATCTGGCCGCTTTATTGGAAAACGCGTTTATAGCTATATCTCCTAAATTATTGACTGTACGGAAAAAATGTACAGTGCTTTTTTGTTTATTACTAAATTCTCTAACTTCTTTCTTAAAAACTTTTTATTGTAACTCTTACCATTTTTTAATTGTTGTTGTTTATTTGAACATGTTTGTAGTTTTTCCTTTATAAAACCTTAAAAATGTCTTGATAAAAAACGTCGTATACGAGTTATTCGTGATTAAATTCCCTACAAGTTTTGTATATTTTTTTTTTATAAAATAAATACTTTTAAGTTAGTTGTCGTTAATGTGCGCAAAAACGGGTATTGAATTGAAGTTACAGAAGTATCCGAAAAATTCACTTACTTTCATACAAATTGAAGCTGATGATGATTTGTGTTGGATTGTTATCAATTAATTGTAAAAAAATGTAATAAAAAAAAAGGAAAAATAAATATAAATATTATAAATAATTTTAGTGATGAGAATCAATTGCACGTATACAAAACTCTGATATACTGCGTTATTGCTACGTTAACGACTCATAACTTTAAAAGTATTTATTTAATAAAAAAAAGATTTATGCATAAGTTGTAGGAAATTTAATGATAAATAACTTTCATAACATGTTTTTTTATCAATTAATGGCATTTTAAAGGTTTTATAAAGGAAAAACTACAACTACAAATTTAAATAAACAACAGTAATTAAAAAACGGTAAGAGGTACAAAAAAAGTTTAAGACAAAAAGTTAGGAAATTTAGTAATAAACAAAAAAGGTCAGTACCATTTTTCCCTTAAAGTTAAGTTTTGGCCGAACCCCCCCCCCCCCCCTCCAAGCCCGTAAAATCGTTGGCCATTAGAGTACAGTACCTTCCTTGACTGATTACAATTTTATACCGATGATACTTGAAAAGTCCGGACAAATGACCATTTTTATACAATCAAAACACCCATGGAAACCACAAAAATAAAAAGTGAAATGTTATAAGCATATTCACCTTGCTTCACAAGCTTTCTTTATGGCTGCATCATTCTTTCGTTTTCTTTTTTTGACACAATGGTAAGCAGGAATTTTACGCCCCATTGTAAAAGCTAATAACAAAAATATTAGTTGAAGCAACGATAATCAATAACTAGCTAGGTAC